GTTATAGGTTTAATTAATTTTTTCTCTTTTATGTTAATTGCTAATGGCTCAATGGCAAGGGCAAATATTAACGGAGAGAGGGGGCAACCCTGACGAGTCTCTCTTTCAAGACAGAACGGTTGCGACTTATCTTGATTAGTAACTATTGATGCGATCGGATTCAGATAGGCTAGTCGCACCCAGGATACAAAAGAATCTCCTAAACCAAACTGCTCTAAGACTTTAAGCATATAGCCCCACTCCACTTGATCAAATGCCTTTTCAGCATCTAAAAATAATATCCCCTTTTTTGAGGTTGAAGAAAATTTAGATTGCATAATATTCAATACTCTTCTAGTGTTAAAGAAAGAATATCTAGGAATAAATCCTGTCTGGTCTATATGAACAATTGATCCAATGCACTTGCTCAGCCTGTTGGCCAATATTTTAGTAAAAAAATTTAAATCCAGATTGAGCATGGAGATTGGACGATATGAAGCAGGTTTGGTGGCATCCCTATCCGGCTTTAACAAAAGAGCAATATCTGCCCTGTATTGTGTCAAGGGTAATATTTTTGCCTCAAAGGAGCAAGATAGCATTCTATGCAGCAGTGGAGATATCTGTGCAATAAACTTCTTGTAGAATTCGGCACCAAAGCCATCTGGGCCAGGCGATTTACCTGTATTAAATGAATTGATTGTATCAATTATTTCTGATTTAGTCAACGTTGCATTCAAAGCTTTACGCGTATCATCATCTAACCTCGGAATAGGAAGATCTTTGAGCCAAGCATCAACACCACCTCTAGCTTTGGTCTTATATAGTTCCTGATAAAATTCTGCAAATTGTTTATTTATAACTTTAGGAATGGTTAGCATTTCCCCTTTGCTAGATCTGATGCTATGTATAGCCCTACTAGATTGTAGCCCACGTAACTGGCGAGCCAACAAAGTGTGAGGTTTATCCCCCAGTTCAAAATAACGAAGGTGAATCCGAGATAACTGATCACTGACTTGTTTTGTAAGGATGGTATTATATTCATATTTAAGTTTCAGAATCTCTTGCAAAATTTGAATATTATTATTCTGTCTGTGTACGGCCTCTAAATGAGATGGCTTGGTCTTGATCTCTTTTAATTTTAAGTTCCTGAGTTTCTTATATGTGCACGAGGCGCGCATGCTGTACGTGCACACTCCTTAACAAAAATAACATCTGAGACAGTCCCGTGTGTGTGTGTGTGTGGCCCGGAGGACAGAAGAACACAGCAAATTAATAAAATAATGTGCCTCTGTCTCTGCAGTGTGTGTGTGTGTGTGTGTGTGTGTGTGTGTGTGTGTGTGTGTGTGTGTGTGTGTGTGTGTGTGTGTGTGTGTGTGTGTCGGAGGACAGAGGACAGGAGAACACGCACCTAATTAATTAAATAATTTGGTTCTGTACCTTTCTCTTCAGCACAGTTGACAAAGGTTTATGATGGGTCAGTCCTCCTGCATGCTCAAATCATTCCTTTCCCTTGCTTGAAAAATTTTTCCAAAATGAAAGTTGAACCCACATCTTTTTTATCTGTGAATTCAATGCTTTCGGCGAGTCTCAAATAAAAAATTGGGCGTCTTATTACTGTAAAAAATATATCATTAATGTAACAAAGAAACTCCAAATAAACTATATTCACACCCAGAATCAAACCCAGGTCTTCAGCATGAGAGTCAGACATCTTCCTGTAAGCTAAAGCGGCTTTAACATTTAGCGTATCTTTAACATTTATATCCTTGATGACAGCTGAAACAACGTCAATCCAAAGAACGGTTTGGAGCGAAAATGGCTATTTTGTTGCTAATTTGCAGGAAATATCTAGAAGAAAGTAGCTAAGGGTCCTCAGAAATGTAGCTAGGTTTGTCACTAGGCATTAGGAACAGCGACAAAGTCGCTGAGTTGGCACTGCCTCTCTCTCTGCTGCTAAAGCTACTGATAGCAAATGCTACGGGCTGTGCCTGAGCGTGAACGCGCATGAAGCAGTCTGCTCGACCCGAGCATCTCTCCTTTTCTGTGATTTTACAGAAAAACAGGCAATCACGGTAAAAATGCCAGGGCTCATTCTACAGGACCAGGGCATTGCAGGAGAATGTATGAAGAAGACATTTATTATTTCTATACATGTTTTGACCATCAAACTTCCTTATAGTCCCTTTAAGGAAAAAAAACGACTTTTTATTGATTTATCCACAATGTAACGATTTATTTCTTCACATGCACTCTTTTTTTCCCCAGCTTTTTACTTTAATCTAACATGAAAATCAGAATAATACATTTTATATTGTGCAGGTTTGGCTTGTAAGTCTCCAGTCTCACAGCAAAACTGCAAATCCACTGTTTTTATAGAATAAAAGGAAAAGAAATGTGAGTTTTGTGGTGTTATTAGGAGGTATTTGTTCACTTCTGACAGATTTTAACAAACGTCATTTAAACATTTAAACTAAACGCATGGAAGAAAAATTAATTAAAACAAATACGACAGGAGTGAAAATAAGAGCTGAATTAAGCGAAGTTAAAGAAATGAGATGGATTATGAGTTGTTAGAGTGTGTAAAATATACTGGAGGGACAGCGGGAATGGAAATGTTCAGAAAAGACGACTATCTCTGCTTTTCATTGCTTTTTACCCTCCTCCTCCTCTCTCAATCTATCTGTGAAGAATGATTGCAGTGAGCTCAGACTGTGCTGAATTATGACAGATAAGGAAGGACAATCAATATTGAGGGTGTGTCGAGAGAGGGAAACTGAGAGAAGTGAATATTTAGAACATTTACAACCCCTAGAGTTGCGTTGTTAAAGGGCACACGTTTGTGAAGCAAGTCACTGATGATTACTGCTTTTGGATTTTGGAGCTCTGATACGTTTGCCTCTTCTTTCGTCTGTTTTGTTGTGTGTGTGTGTGTGTGTGTGTGTGTGTGTGTGTCTGTGTGTGTGTGTGTGTGTGTGTGTGTGTGTAATGAGGCCGAGGAGAAGTAATTTTGTCATGCCATCTGATAATGTTGCTTCAAGCCCTGGTATGAATCGCCCTGAGCTCAACCATGAGGGTTTGGGCTGAAGGGAGGAGGGGCTGATGATTGACAGCGATAGATAGCTGTCAATCACTAGGAGGGCGGGATTGGGGGAGGGGTGTCCTGGGACAGAAAAACTGACATTTCGTCCAAACACAGAGCGGATGGAAAGTGAGGGCACTAGAGATTTTATGGAACTTGACAAAAATGCTCCTCTTTGCAGATGAAATGCAGAAGTTGACAAAACATTATAGGGCACGATTAATCATTCAGAATAAATCCAACGTAGAAATATTTTCTCTGAAGTAGATAGCATACAAGCTGTTCAGAAACTCGTGTAAGATTATGGCTCTGATTGAACTTTTATACCTTTTTATGTAAGAGTAAGAAAACTCCACTGTTTCTGCAACTGTGAAAGTGGATTACATATATAATGTACAAGCCTGACTTGGTTGCTCGTTCCTTTTAGGTTAATAAAAACTGCAAATCCCACAAACTATGACTAACATCAACCCTGAAACAAAACTTTTTATGTTTCTCTCTTTCAGCTTGTCCCTGCTGAGCAGGAAACTTGTTGGCCTCATGTAGAATCTAACCTGAACAGGACGGGAACAATAAGCACACTTTGCCCTCCTGAATGTGTTAGAAATCCAATCAGGCCCACTCATCCCTGGTGTTCTTTTTAACCTTTGCACGCAGTTTCTGACAGGCGAAAGCAACCTGTTATTAAAGACAAACACCTCAGTAGTCTCTCTCTCATTCTCTTCACCGTTTCCTCCTTTGAGCATGCACATTACTAATTGTTCCTTCTTTAATCTAAAAGAAAAGGATAAACACATTTGGCCGGGGCATGGAGGAAAAACAGAAGGCACCTCCTTCGTGTTCTCAGTTTCTCTACTCGGTTTGCTTCTCTAGTTTTCGCTCTGTTGTGAAAAAAATGGAGTTGGCAAAAATACAAAATAAGATTAGCTATGCTGTGTGGGATTAATTTTCTTGTGCAGGATAACTTGACTGTAAGTGGTGCAGATAAACCGCCAGCCCTGCAACTTTCATGTGTTTTAAAGGAAGATTGTTGTTATTTGGTTGTTGTTTTTGTTGAGTAAACCCAGTAAATTTCACAGTTGATTTTTTATTTAATTTGCAGAAAGAAGTGTGTAAAGCACAGGAACCTTTTGAAGTGATCAGAATTTCCACACCGAGTGCAAAAGAAGGGCTTAATAAAAACCCACACATGCTCAAAAGATCCCTCATCAGGATGAAAATTTGTTTAAAAAATGCAGAAAGGTTAAGTGGACTCTTCAAAGAACATCGCTGGGGGTAAATGGAACAAGGAGGGTCTGGTCTGCAGAGAGCGAGTCTGAGAGAAAGATGGAGAGGAACTGATTGGGGAGAAACAAACGTGCGCTGCAACAGGTTGGAATTAGATCAACACTATCAAGCAGGCCAGATACAAGCTGTGATACCTGGGAGAGATGGATGAGGAGGTTGTGTGTGTGCTGTTAATCTATTTATTTACCTGTCATTGGCAGCGATAATGGTTTTCATCCCTTCCCTCTCTATCTCAGTCTGTCTTGTGATGGGGATTGGTTTTTGTCGCTTGATAATCACACCTGTATTTTCTCATCAGACTCTAATCAGACCAATTACACGCGTGACAGAGAGCGTGGGCACGTTGATGCAGGGGAGCGATAACAACACACACTCACACACTTTGGGATTAAGCGCTCTGTCTTGGAATATCTACGTCCCTTATCGGGGACTCCCAACCCTGACATGACCTGTCAGCAGTCATGCCAAATGTGTCTCTCACATGAACACATACAGGTCATACTTAGATTAGACATGCAATGCAGCAAAGACAAGTTTGGTCTGAAAAAGGAAACCAGACTTCTCCCATCTTTTTGGCTCATCCATCACTCTCAAACTTTCTTCTGTGGAGATCTGAATTATGAATCTTTGGTTGAAAATGTGCTTATTTTTGCAGGCCTACGATGGTTTTGCCAGCTTGGGGATCTCCCGTCTCCTGGAACCATCCGACATGGTCTTGTTGGCCATTCCGGACAAGCTAACGGTGATGACCTACCTGTACCAGATCCGGGCTCATTTTTCTGGCGAGGAGCTCAATGTGGTGCAAATAGAGGCCAACAGCAGTCGCAGCACTTACAAGGTGGGTGACTTTGAGACGGATACGAACGCCTCCATCGGCCAGGACAAGTTCTACGCTGAACTGAACGATGTACAGCATCACCAAGCTAACGCTCAGCTCGATTCATCAGCTGGCGTTCTCACTGAAACTAATGGTGCTGAGGACGCTGAAGGGGAAATGATGGATCAGAAGGTTGGAGGAGAGTCAGTCACCTCATCAGTACCAGGATCTTTGCTGACCTCTCCTCCTGTTCCATCACCACGCTCAATATTACACACCACAGCTACAAACTCAACCCACATGACACCGCAAGGCTCTGAAGACAGAGGGAGTCTGCTTAAAGCCAACACATTGGACCTTTGCGAGTTACCACAGAGAGAGAATAAGGAGGCGGAGGAGGAGAAACAGCACAAGGAGGAGGTGGGAGAGGATAGAGAGGAGGGAGGTAACGAACCAGCGTCCCCAACAAGGAGAGGAAACCTCTCACCCTCTCACCAGAAACTGGGCTTCTCCTATAACAGGGATGCTGACCTCATCAAAAAGAAACGGGCCAGTCTGCGTCACTCAGAGTCGGAGCCAGCCTCAAACACCAGATCACCCTCGGCTAACCACACAGATGTTCCCGTCAAACAGGTAAACGCACAAAGAGGGTAACACACAGACTCACTTACATCCATACGGGAAGACAATAGCAATGCTTTGAATATGGTAACCCAAACCCAGATCTCCTGCACCATCTGGGCCAGTCTACAGGTTCTAAATTCATTTCTGCTGCCTAAGTTAGGTTTTAAGATTCCATCAGCGTTTATCTGCAGGTACCTGTCTGGCTCCCGTATGGATTGTTTGTGTTTTTATCCTTTTACCCGAGCTTTGATTGAAACATTTCACAGCGCCTAAGTCATAAGACAGAGGAGACCCAGAACATTCATTCCTTACTCTTAAGCTTCAAATCACAACCTTGGTGATATGACTGCAGCGATGGCCGTACGCTCTTCTGCATTAGATGCTGTCGTCACCTGTCTGGCTGCCGAGAACCAGACACATCCAGGCCCCTAACGTGGCAACTACAGAAGGCGCCTCACAGAACCCCCCTGCTTTGACATTTCATTATATTTTTCATTATATTTCTCATCCCTGCAGTTGATGACAGTTGGTGCCGTGATTGCTCAGGCGTGGCGATGCTTTAGCACCGAGCAGGCATCATCTCGTCTTACACACTGACACACACCTGTATGCACCCCCCTGTGCACGCAAACACAGTGCAGTCGGTGAACCCCAGATTACTGCTTCCTGTTTACAAGTCTAAAGGTCATGGGGCAGGCAGTGGGGACGGGCAGTGGGGGTTGTGATAGTCATAAAACCAGTTTTTGATGTGTCGTTATCTATTGAATAGGTGCTTCATCTCCTGAATTCAGGCCAGATTGAAACTGTTGGAAATAAACAGCTTGCATCATAAATAGTTTGTTTCTTTGGTAGTTTTTATTCTCTTAATGCCACTAGACTCCTCATAATACAAAAGTACAAATCTCTGGGAAAGTACCATGTGTGATAGTGATCCTTTTGTCTTTTTAAAAGGAGCATCCTCCTGGGTCTGTATCCAGCCCTCCAGCTGAGAAGGTGAGTAGCTTTACGAAACACGCGTTTTGACAATAAAATGATTATTAGATGTGTTTCACAGAACAGAACATGTCAGAGGGTGTTGATCACGTGGTTTTTCTTGTGTGTAGAAAGTTCTGTCTCGTCAGGAGGAGCTAAAGGAGAGAGCCAGGCTCCTCTTGGAACAAGCCCGCAGAGATGCTGCTATAAAAGCTGGCAATAAGAGCATCCCCAACTCCGCTGTAACGGCACCAAACAGGACTTCAGCCGTCTGTGACGTAGGTTTTCTGTGTTTGAGAGTCTTGTCACATTCAAATATGATCCTTCCTGTCTCGGTTGTCTGGCCAAGTTTTTATTCATTTCCAAACATTCTGTTTTGTTTGGCGCCTTGCTTGGTAAAATAACCATAGTACGAGTAAATCAAATAGGTTTTGAAGGTTGATACACGATAACGATTCTTGTACAGCTCTGACTTGACTATCCGTTCATCTTCTATCATCCCAACACCAAAGAACTGTATTTAAAATTCGACTTGGAAAATTACTATTATGGAATAAAATTTAAAAAATCTGCCATGCTAACATCATTTAGCACGTAGTAATGATGAGTTCATGGATCAGAAAAAATGTCAGATTTTTTTTATTGCTGCCTGGCAGTGGTGCATTCAGGGACCAAAACCCTAAACAGCTGGTTTTTGAGTTTCAGACTGGCCGATCACCAGTTAAGCCGATCGAGCTGAATG